AGTATACAAGGTGGCAATGTGTGACTTGTTAGTGGAGGAGGAAGCAGTGATGGATTAGTAAGAAGTATACAAGGTGGCAATGTGTGACTTGTTAGTGGAGGAGGAAGCAGTGATGGATTAGTAAGAAGTATACAAGGTGGCAATGTGTGACTTGTTAGTGGAGGAGGAAGCAGTGATGCATTAGTAAGCAGTATACAAGGTGGCAATGTGTGACTTGTTAGTGGAGGAGGAAGCAGTGCTGGATTAGTAAGCAGTATACAAGGTGGCAATGTGTGACTTGTTAGTGGAGGAGGAAGCAGTGCTATATTGGTAATGTGTGACTTGTTAGATAGTGGAGGAGGAAGCAGTGCTGGATTCGGTAGTAGTATATACAACGGAAATGGGAGGAGTTGAGCTGCACAATGCACTTGCGTCTACAAGAAATGTATGTAGTCCATTGTCCACCAGAGCGAGTGTAAGTGTTATAAATGTTCCACGTGGAGCTGATTTTAGGTTTAGGAACACCCCGATCTCAATGAATAAACTAAGGTGATTTCTGTCCAACTTCTTTATCCCCAGAAATCTCGTCGGTGGAAATCTAAGAGAGAGATCAGTGACTCCAGCTCCCGACCCATCAAAGCGGCCGGGAAAGTGATCATACAAGACATTTCCTGTCTGCTCACCGTGCACAAAGCTCTGGGAGAAATGTACATGTGAGTATTGTGATTACACAATGGGTCCTCGGCTCAAATCCCGCTCAGGACACCATCTGCATGGAGTTTGCTTTCCACATGCTTTGGTGGGTTTCCTCCGGGTGCTCCGGATTCCTCCCGCACTCTATAGACATGCTATTGGATTAATTGGGTCCTGTATGTGTGTAAACTCCTCAAGGACAGCGATTGATTTTAGGGAATAGTAAAGTGCTGTGCAAATTGACGGCGCTATATTAGTGCCTCCAATAAATACTTCAGGTCACAGATCTCATTGAGAAAAACTAGAGGAGTAAGGCCCCGTTCACATTGAGCGATTTATCGCGCTGTAATTCCCGCGATATCGCGGCTATTTACAGCGCGATATCGCTCTTCAATGCATCTCAATGGGGCTAAGGGTCCTGCTGTCGCGGGTCGTGTGTCGCTACAGCAGGACCCTTTTTGGAGCGGATTTTGCCGCGATTCCATTCTTTGCAATGCAAGCATTTGCGTGATATCGCGCGATATTGCGCAAAATTCAAATCGCGCGACAAACGCGCAATTTGCAAATTGCGCAGTGTGAATGGGGCCTAAGAGTATGGAAGTGTGGAGTATCGGGTGTTTCCCCTTATGCATTTTACCAAGTCATGATGTCGGTAGCCCATGTACTACAGGTCCCTGCTCTCCTAGCCAATGGGCTACAGAGTCAGTGGCCAGATACTAAATGAAAGTAGACTTGCCATCTTTTCTGAAAGTGTTTATAAACTCTAATAATTCGGGACGCACCAAAATTTCGGCCGCAGGAACATATCGGCCGAAAATGGCACTTTTGGCAAAATGCCAAGAGGTGCCGTTGTTCGGCCGCAATTGTGCTTCCATAGTTTTTCTCCTCCCCACTGTGTGCTACTGTGTCCCCTCGGACACAGCGCAGGGTCCAGCAGGGAGAGAAACTGTCACAGGAGATCGAGCGGTGCCTGGAAGGAGAGTGCTTGTGAGCGGCTGGCAAGTCACAGGAGGCTGGGCTCTCCTCCCGCCCGGCTGTGACAGATCAGGAGAGCAATGGGGGGGGCGGAGACAGCTATCACTGGAGGCAGGGCTGGCGGATCAGGGGAGGAGTCAGCTGTCACGAGAGACCGAGCTCTCCCCCCGTAGCGGATCCAGGATCGAGAGCGGGTACAAGCAGTTGGTGATCAGTGATCGCTGACTGTTTGTAGATAATTGAGGACATACCATGTTGACTGTGTCCCCAATTATGAATGAATGGGAAGTGATCTACATCACTTCCTGTTCTTTCATGATTGTGGATATAGTAAACATACTCCATCCTCCATGTTATGAATGAACAGGAGTACTCAGTATAGAGGATTCCTGTTAGGGTTGCACAGATACCAAGTACAGTATTCGGTACAAGAACGAGTACATGTACCGATACTTTTGAGCTCCAAGACTAGACTAAAGAAAAATTCAAAAGTTAGGAGGCCGCTGTCATTTGTAAGGAGCACACGGAGCTCCCGGGACTTGTACATCTGTTTTAATGTACGATTTAGTTTTTATAAATATAAATAAAGGGATGCACAGATACCAGTTTTGCGAGTACGAGTACTGGTACTTGCCGAGTACTTACAAGTACGAATACTGATACATTTTTGTTTATTGTCATGTGACAGTTTTTCTAAAACAATACAGACTAATGATTTCAGAACACTGGTGGAGCGCCAGAGCCAGGTCCCAGCTGCAGCCCTGGTAGTTCTCATGAAAATGCCAAGTATCGGCACTGGTACTCGAAAAGTATCTGTGCATCCCTAATTCCTGTTCATTTATAACTGGGACTGCAGAACAAGAGATTGAGGGCTCTGTGTTCTCTGAGGACTCTGTGTTCTCAATCTCTTTTTCTAATTTTAGAAAGGGAAATATCAGGGGTCTGCTTAGATCCCCAATGTTTTCCCAAAGCCCCTAAAAGTAAAGTAAAAAAATGTGAGTTGGAAGTATCTGAATTTTATATTAGGTGTGTATTTAGCAGTTCGACCAGCGGCCATCTTTAATCTATGTGATCCTTCTTTTCTTTTTTTTTTACTGTTCAGATTAAACCGCGGTGACCTCCAGGAGATGTGTCAGAAGAATGCAGCTTCAGCTCTCAGTGTTGGGCGCAGAGATCTGGTGCAGGTAAGCACTTAAAAAGACACAAACCTAGGGAGTTAAATCTTACAAATCCCTTTGAGTTCCCTATAACCAAAAATGTATCCTATTTGTGTATCACTCGGCTGTAGATCCTCCAATCATCTCTGAATTGGTGCTGACACTGTCCTTCACAAGACTAGACTAAAGAAAAATTCAAAAGTTAGGAGGCCGCTGTCATTTGTAAGGAGCACACGGAGCTCCCGGGACTTGTACATCTGTTTTAATGTACGATTTAGTTTTTATAAATATAAATAAAGGGATGCACAGATACCAGTTTTGCGAGTACGAGTACTGGTACTTGCCGAGTACTTACAAGTACGAATACTGATACATTTTTGTTTATTGTCATGTGACAGTTTTTCTAAAACAATACAGACTAATGATTTCAGAACACTGGTGGAGCGCCAGAGCCAGGTCCCAGCTGCAGCCCTGGTAGTTCTCATGAAAATGCCAAGTATCGGCACTGGTACTCGAAAAGTATCTGTGCATCCCTAATTCCTGTTCATTTATAACTGGGACTGCAGAACAAGAGATTGAGGGCTCTGTGTTCTCTGAGGACTCTGTGTTCTCAATCTCTTTTTCTAATTTTAGAAAGGGAAATATCAGGGGTCTGCTTAGATCCCCAATGTTTTCCCAAAGCCCCTAAAAGTAAAGTAAAAAAATGTGAGTTGGAAGTATCTGAATTTTATATTAGGTGTGTATTTAGCAGTTCGACCAGCGGCCATCTTTAATCTATGTGATCCTTCTTTTCTTTTTTTTTTACTGTTCAGATTAAACCGCGGTGACCTCCAGGAGATGTGTCAGAAGAATGCAGCTTCAGCTCTCAGTGTTGGGCGCAGAGATCTGGTGCAGGTAAGCACTTAAAAAGACACAAACCTAGGGAGTTAAATCTTACAAATCCCTTTGAGTTCCCTATAACCAAAAATGTATCCTATTTGTGTATCACTCGGCTGTAGATCCTCCAATCATCTCTGAATTGGTGCTGACACTGTCCTTCCTTCTGGAGGGGGGCTACTTTTATCTTACATGGTCCCTGTGTGTGTTGTAAAGTAGTCACCGCTCCAAGCTCACTCCCGGGATGGACTACAATCTCAATACAAATTAGTAGCCTAAACATGAGATTGTAGTCCATCACAGGAGCGAGCTTGGAGCGATGGCTACTTTACAACACACAGGGACCATGGGGAACAAAAGTAGCCCCCCTCCAGAAGGAAGGACAGTGTCAGCACCAATTCAGAGATGATTGGAGGATCTACAGCCGAGTGATACACAAATAAGATACATTTTTGGTAATAGTTAAAGTTGTACTAATGCTGCATTAAGGTAAAAAACGTCAGTACCTTTTAGTGCCCAATGTCCCCTCACACTTACTTGTGCACAGCTGTGTCACCGCCGCCAGTCCCCAAAGTGATCCTCTGTTCCCGGAACTTCCTGGTTTCGGGGAAAGGATACTGAGAGCAGAGAGGAGCCATTAGACTCTCTGCTGCCAACCTGTTGGGAGGAGAGGAGGGGCGTGGTCTGCCGCAGGGCTGTATAGGTCTATGGACGCACACAGCTACTTGCGGGCACGGCCAAAAGTTTTGCTCGAGACGACATAACATGGAGTTATATGAGATTATTACAAAATTGGTATCAAGTGTTGGAAGTTAGGGTTAGAAAGAACATTACCGTATGTTGAACAGTCTATAGAACTCAAAGAAGAACAAAATCATGGAGCAACATTGGAAAGGAATTGAATGAAGCAGGAGAGAGGAAAGAGAAAAGAAACAAGCATCAACACTATAGTAGATCACGGCATATTTGGAGAAGTGTTGTGACGGGAGGAAACGCTGGATGAGTGGAGGGGATCGGGTAATCTCAGTACTTTCGGGAGATTTAGGCGGTGTCAAAGGGGTTGAGGGTATGTCAAAGGACGTCTAAAGCACTGAGGGTGCCTTCAAGTTTGGCTTTGAGGAACCATAATGAATGTTGAAAGGTGGACATGATGTCATGTAACTGACGTGTAGGGATTGCAGACGTCAGATAGCGGGACCAGGTGTCACAAAAATATACCCGTGCGTTGCATATTAAATTGTGCATCTAGTTTGTCTAGAACATTTTATAGCAAGTACACAAAATGTAGATCCTGATAGAAATGCCGTGTCCTTGTCACTTCCTGTGAGCTTAGCAGACATCATAAACAATATAGTCTAGAGAATAATAATCTCAACAACCTGTTTGTAATAGAGGCAGAAAGGCAGACATGTTTGAAGTCCATGGCCAGGAGAACGGTACTTGCCTGACTGCATTGTGCCAAGTGTAAAGTTTGGTGGAGGGGGGATTAAAGGGGAAACAGGGTAGCATGAAAATATAACAATGAAAGTGTTTTTTGTTCTATCTGTTACTTATTGATCCTGCCAGAAATCTTGTGAGCCGATAACTTTCTGTGCTGTGACAATTAGCATTGTTTCCAGCTGTGGACCACAAAACATGTTATTAGTGGGAGGTGTTCTATAGTCATGTTGTAGGGAGATGGTGCTGCTTCTCTATTGATACAATGCAGTGAGTGAGCGTTGTCATCGTGACAGGAAATGTGTTACTGACAGGTTAACTCAGGGGTGGGCATCTCTGGACCTACAGCTGTGCTTTAACTACAAATCCCAACATACCTCTGCCAGTCATGCCTGTAACTGTCAGTCTTTCAATGCCTCATTGGACTTGTAGTTCCACAATAGCTGGAGGGCCGCAGTTGCCCACCTCTGGATTATCTGATCAGTATAAAAAGAAAACAAATGCAGCCACAACATCTAAGGACTGGTAAGCTGCAATATAGTACATGTTTGATCCTGCGCTTAGATATGCGTTAAAGGAGAACTATGGGGTTAAGTCTTTTTCCTCATAGTTCTCCTTAGGGTAACGGGAGGACACAAACTAGCGTCCTCCTAGGCTCAGTATACGGTATACTGAGACGCCGTATATCCCGCGAGCTGCTGCTCGCGGTATACTGAGACGCCGCAGCTGAAGCGGATCCCGACAATTATGTCTGGATCCGCCCAGCTGCGTGACTGACAGCTGGCTCTGCCTATCTAGAGGCAGAGCCAGCTGTACCCGCCCCCTCCCCCGTCCGTTCCGCCAGTCAGCGCTGGCGGATCGGAGCGGGGAGGGGGGAATCCAGCCCCTCCCCCTGTCACGGCAGAGAGCCGTTACAGGATAGAGAGGTGAGCGAACGCTGGTATGTGTTCGCTCACCTCCCGATCTACTGAGCCGACCTGTGACAGTCTCATTGTCACAGGTCGGCTAGAACTATGAGGTGAGTGAAAAGCACTCGCCTCATAGTTCTCCTTTAAGTGTAAAATACTAACATCAGGTCTCCTCTGTGTCTTATCACACACATTCTCTTTCTTCTTACAGCCTGGCACATTACTGCCACTTACACGATGTTCAGACCTTGGCCATGCTGTGTAGTATGTTTGATGCCCATCTTCAACCACAAGGCAACGGCGTGTCCTCCTGCCACCCGTTCCCTTCCCGCTCAAGCCACAGCCGATACGTAAGACCTTCACTCTTCTATTGCAGTGTTTTCCATTGGTAAAGATGGCGGTACTCATTGTGCATTGTGTGTTTTCAGCCGAGTTTCACGTCCTCCTGCTCGGGGTCCACCATGTCCGATCCAGGTTTTAGTGCCGGGGGCTGGAGCATTGGTAAGATCTTTCTTCATCTGTCCTGAATCCTGCGGGTCCCTGCATGGTTGGTGTATTAGGGGGATGCTGCTCAGTACAAAGTATGGTGGCTATTTAGGATAATGTGCTCATTTAGGGGAGAGTGACAGGTTCTCTTTTATTGAAGAAACGCAAAGGGTGTTATTCACTGTTGAGCCGAAGGATACAGCCGTAGCTTCGGCTGATCCTTCGGCTCTCTTTGGCCACCGGAGCCTTTTCGGTTCAGTCGAACCGAAGGGCTGCTGTATGGGCTATTCACAATAGCCCGTACGGCTGCCGAAGGCGGCTGAGTGGCTCAGCCGAGCCGAAGGCTTATGCTTCGGCTCGACTGAGCCGAAGGGACAGCCGAAGCGACTGAAATCAGCCGTACTGAGCAGAAGTTCGGTTCACTTCAGCAGCTTTGTGAATAACCCTCAAAGTGTTACGCCCGATCATATTATGTAAGTTACTCAGTGACATTGCCCTTATTCCTTCAACGTTCTCCTTTGGATAGGCGGCCAAGATGCTGACCACACTGTGCCATGGGGTGACGCTTCGCCTGATGACTATCGATACAGCAATATCAACCATGTGGACCCTCGAGAGCGGGAGAAAGAACAGCATGATAAGAATAAAAGGTAATCACTTGAAAGGGAACAGCTGAAAAAAAAGAGCAATACTTCATTGAAGGGTTAGTAGTCACTTAAAGGAGAACTATGGGGTCAGTGTTTTTCCCCATAGTTCTCCTTAGGGTAACGGGAGGACACAAACTAGCGTCCTCCCGTTACCCTAAGCTCAGTATACCGCGAGCTGTAACTGAGACGCCGGAGCGGATCCCGACTTAGACGACGGGATCCGCCCAGCTGCGTGAGTGACAGCTGGCTCTGCCCATCTAGAGGCTGAGCCAGCTGTACCCGCCCCCTCCCCCGTCTGTTCTGCCAGTCAGCACTGGAGGAGCGGGGAGGGGGGAATCCAGCCCCTCCCCTGTCACGGCAGAGAGCCGAGACAGGATCGAGAGGTGAGCGAACGCCGGTATGTGTTCGCTCACCTCCCGATCTACTGAGCCGACCTGCGACAGTCTCATTGTCACAGGTCGGCTAGAACTATGAGGCGAGTGAAAAGCACTCACCTCATAGTTCTCCTTTAAAGTGGGGGAGTAGCTGGTTAAAGGGGGATTCCAGAATTTGTTGAGGGATGAGGAAGTATGCATTTGAAGTGGGGGGGGTCACTCTAAAGGGGGTTGCAGAATCCAATGAGGGATGATGAACGGCCATCATGAAATGTGGGAGGAGCGGGGAGTAGCAATTGAAAAGGGATTCCTAAATTCAATGAGCAAGGGGTTCTAGTCATTTAAAGGAGGAGTCCAGAGTACAGTGAGAGAGCATTTGTTACTATTTAAAGGAGAATTCCAAAATTTAGTAAGATGGGTAGGCAGTAGGGATGCACAGATACTTTTCGAGTACCAGTGCCAATACTTGGCATTTTCATGAAAACTACCAGGGTTGCAGCTGGGACCTGGCTCTGGCGCTCCACCACTGTCCTGAAATCATTAGTTGATATTGTTTTACAAAAACTGTCACATGACAATAAACAAAAATGTATCAGTACTCGTACTTGTAAGTACTCGGCAAGTACCAGTACTCATACTCGCAAAACTGGTATCTGTGCATCCCTTTATTTATATTTATAAAAACAAAATCATACATTAAAACAGAGATGTACAAATCCCGGGAGCTCCGTGTGCTCCTTACAAATGACAGCAGCCTCCTAACTTTTGAATTTGTCTCTAGTGTAGTCTTGGAGCTCAAAAGTATCGGTACATGTACTCGTACTTGTACCGAGTACTGTACTTGGTATCTGTGCAACCCTAGTAGGCAGTCAATCGTCAAGTCAAGAGGAAGGTGTCAAGCTAAAAGAAAATTCCTATATTCAGGAACCCTACACGACTTCCTTTTTCTTCTTTGTTTTGTCTGACCGCCATTGCAGCCGATTGTACATAGAAAGTCAAGTGATCAAGAAGCCAGACATTTGAAATCATTGTCAGTTTAAACACCACTTACCTTTAAAAGACTCTCTACAAGGATACAAAAACTGCTGGCAGGGCTAAAAGGAGACGCGTACGGCGTCTGCATGTACCTTCAGATGTGTTCCAGGGCCCCTGGGAACCCCTGAAAACCCAGGGCACTCCATTATTCAAATCTGTACTGCACTTCTGAAGTCAAATGATGACGTGCCCCCCTCATTCCTTACCTTGCTATTGGTCCCTTGGTGTAATATTTACATTTCTTTTGTGTATTTAGCTTGTTGCCTGCTCTTCTGCTTCAAGTAATTTTCCGGCGACCTTTTTTACTCAGGATTTTGGACCCAGCAAATGTGCAGCAGTTTGATGACTTTAAGAAGTGTTACGGAGAGATCTTGTATCGCTGGGGACTCCAGGAGAAGAGGGCAGAGGTTCTAAAATTCGTCTCGTGTCCTCCAGAGCCTCATCGCGGCATTGGTGAGTGTGCATGCTGTCGCTGATGCACTTATCTCAGACTAACGGCCAGGAACCAGTCGGTGCGGTTCCCTATTGCGATCACATGCAAGCAGCTGGCTTGTTTGTAAACTTAATCAGCCTTCACATGGTCATGTGCAGCTCTCTCCTCACTCTCTGCTCTCTCCTCACTCTCTGCTCTCTTCTCACTCTCTGCTCTCTTCTCACTCTCTTCTCACTCTCTTCTCACTCTCTGCTCTCTTCTCACTCTCTGCTCTCTTCTCACTCTCTGCTCTCTTCTCACTCTCTGCTCTCTTCTCACTCTCCGCTCTCTTCTCACTCTCCCTCTGCACTCTTTCTCTCTGCTCTCTCCTCCCTCTATTCTCAGTCTCTCCTTTCTCTCTCTGCTCCCTCTGTGCTTTCTCTCCCTCTCTGCTCTCCCTCTCTGCTCTCCCTCTCTGCTCTCTCCTCTCTTTTCTCTCTGCTGTCTCTCTCCTTGCTCTCTGCTCTCTCTCTCTCTCTCTCTCCTTGCTCTCTCTCTCGGCTCTCTCTCTTCTCTCCTTGCTCTCTGCTCGCTCTCTCTCTCTCTCTCCTTGCTCTCTGTTCTCTCTCCTTGCTCTCTCTCTCCCTCTCCTTGCTCTCTCCCTCTCCTTGCTCTCTCCCTCTCCTTGCTCTCTCCCTCTCCTTGCTCTCTCTCTCCCTCTCCTTGCTCTCTCTCCTTGCTCTCTGCGCTCTCTCTCTCTCTCCTTGCAAGCTCTCTCTCTCCTTGCGCGCTCTCTCTCTTCTTGCGTGCGCTCTCTCTCTACTTGCGCGCGCTCTCTCTCTCTCCTTGCGCGCGCTCTCTCTCTCCTTGCGCGCGCTCTCTCTCTCCTTGCGCGCGCTCTCTCTCTCCTTGCGCGCGCTCTCTCTCTCCTTGCGCGCGCTCTCTCTCTCCTTGCGCGCGCTCTCTCTCTCCTTGCGCGCGCTCTCTCTCTCCTTGCGCGCGCTCTCTCTCTCCTTGCGCGCGCTCTCTCTCTCCTTGCGCGCGCTCTCTCTCTCCTTGCGCGCGCTCTCTCTCTCCTTGCGCGCGCTCTCTCTCTCCTTGCGCGCGCTCTCTCTCTCCTTGCGCGCGCTCTCTCTCTCCTTGCGCGCGCTCTCTCTCTCCTTGCGCGCGCTCTCTCTCCTTGCGCTCTCTCTCTCTCCTTGCGCTCTCTCTCTCTCCTTGCGCTCTCTCTCTCTCC